AAAAATTCGTATTAATGTTTTAGATAAAGATATTTCTTCTATTAAATTAAAATATGATGATATATGTTTGAATGTTAGTAAATTCAATAAAAGTAAAGAGAATTTGAATAATTTGCTCTCATTTCAAAAATCTTCAAACAATCATTTTGGCATTGGATTTGTTCCTAAGTATTTTACAAAGAATGATTATGTTTTGAAGAATAATAATAAGAATATTCATGTTAAACAAAATAAGTATATATGGATTCCTAAGAATTTGAATATTCATGATAGGAATGATTATATTTTATCTTATATGTATGAAGTTTGCAATTCAAAGAATTACACTTATATTAATAAATGGAAATCAAATTTCAAGTGGATTTGGATTCCTAAGGGCTAATCCTAATGATATAATATAAAAGACTACCAAAGTGCTTAATATTTTTATTAAGGTACCCGGGAAAAGAAAATTTTAACTAGAATTGTGTTTATTTCTTTTTGTTAATGACAAAGGGGGAGTTATAAAGAAAATTTTAATTTTTTTACTAATGCTTTGATGCAGGGGAGTAAAAGAATTTATTTAATGATTTTATGCAGGGGGGTTAAAATTTTTATATCTTAATAACATATATTTGTCATCATCAAAAAGGGGGGGAATGTTAGGAATCTTGACCCCAAGATTAGTTTATTTTGATGATAACAAATATTATATGTTGTATGTATTATGTGCTAACATTTGTTTTACAGTATCAGAGCTATATCAATAATTATATTCAAAGAGATACTCAAGACATAGACGGGTTCAAGGCAAAATGAAGCAAAGAAGAAGATATACTTTATTGTCAAAATGTAATTTTATATTTTCTTTGCTTAGAAATTTGTACAAGCCTTGATCACTCACACACATGTACACACATAGTGTTAGAACACACTAACACATGCTTAGTGTGTTGGTTAACAATAGAAATCCCCTATGTTAGCCATTAGAGTTTATAGATATTGAGTGAGTCTTAAAATATTTTATTTATACCCCTTATCAATTAGAATCTGGAAAAAGATCAAAGTTATAGGTCTCTTTAAGAGCTTTCCAACAAATTTTAAATCACCTCATTCCGATATCGGATGAGAAAGTTACAGTCAAAATACAAAATCTGTGAGTTTACAGTGTAGTCGACTACTATGCCTTGTAGTCGACTACTAAACAATTTTCTGACTTCACAGAGTCTGTTTAGACTCAGTGTAGTCGACTACTATGACTTGTAATCGACTACAGATACAGTTTTTTCCAGATTTCAGGTTTTAAATAAGTGACTGTTTATAGCCGTTTTGTGGACGTTAATTAAACATCAGAAAACAAGTACCAAGTTTTGCACTTATAAGATTCACATATTGTGCAAATTAACTCTCTAAACTTTCAGTTTTTCAATCTATTTTTCTATAAAAGAGAGTTTCTGATATTGCCTTTGTTCCTATCATTCTTAGAGCTTGTTTAGGCAATATTCAGAGAGTTAAAAAGATTGATATTCCACTGTTATACATTCACATCTATATCAAGGCTTATAGGATTAGAATTGTACATTGCTTCAAAGAAAGGTTCTCTCGGTTTATGAGAGGGGTTGATCTCTTGGTCTAGAGATCGGTGTGACGATTGGCATGGTCTTGTCAATTGGGTTCAGGTTTGCTTTTGATTTTGTAAGGTTTCAAAATCATAGTGGAAACTCTCAAGCGGGATTTGCTTGGGGACTGGATGTACACCGGGGAGGTAGAACCAGTATACATGCTTGTGTTTGTGATGTTTATTTTCTAATATTGCCATTCTTTCTTTGCAATTTATAATCTACTTTGTAAACTCACCCTCTAGTGTTTAAGTGTAAAGCTTCTACAGATTTTTATAAGAGCGTACTCTATTCTTAAGGGTCACGATCCTACACTTGGTATACATAAGCAAAATCAGGACCCTACAACATACACTAGAGAAAATAGGTGTACGTCAGCGTACATGGCATACGGTAAGATCCCACAAAACAAATAGAGCGAACGAAAACCCAAGCGGAAAACAATACGATAACAAAAATGATAAAAGGACGTGCAACTAGAAATCCAACAAAATCAATCAAGTAACAAGTCGATCATGCAACCAGCGATCAGAAATCATCCAAGTAACAATATCATACAACTAGATAAAATTAATATTTAAAAATTTACAATAAGAGATGTAGTACGTTGAGCGCAAACAAGGAAACCCTCATGTATATACCATATGTCTCAAATTATAAATAATTAAATATTAATCCCGATCTATGTATGAAAAGAAAATACAACTGACCTACATCTCACAAGAATCCATAATCACCTTAAGTAACAAGGTCATGTAACTAGCTATTCTATAACAGGTCACTGGTCCACATCTCACTCAGAGTCAACGCTCATATCATCAAATAACTGACTGTTCACAAATCCCCTATGTGCATCTAATACCGCTACACAAACTCGGTCAGAGGACTACACACAATCCGTTTTCAGCCTGGTCCGGACTCAAGCTAAACTCGGGTGAATATCAAATTCACGATCCAAAGTAGCGACACCGATCTACTTTGACCCAACAAACCAATCCCAGTGGCGACACCGATCCACTGGTGCGAGCCTGGAAGATATATTAATAGCCTTATCCGATTACATGAACAAAGACTTTCCCATCACAACTCTTCTCACTTTTCTAAGTCAACAATCAAAGTCCACAATATCTCTGGTTCACTACCTAAATTCAGTCAACACACCCACATATGTCACAAGGTCTGTCCATGACGCACGAGACCACTAAGTCATGAACTAATAAGGGTTGTCAAACATAATAAAAAAATAATAAATGAAACAACCAATCATGTACAACAGTGTCATAGCATACCATGTAATTAAAATAAGAATCATGGAATCGATCATTGTTTTGCATATAAAATGTCACAGTTAATAACCATCAATCACACGATCATAAATTAAATTAATTCAAAATAAATAATTTTTTTGCAAAATAAATTCCATTCAAATTGTCTCTCACCATAATTATTCTAAAAATAATCTTTTAAAATAATAAATTAACAATTCAAAATAACCTCTTCTCCAAAATAAATTATTTTAAATTATCTATTATAATAATTATTCAAAACTAACCCCTTTTCCAAATTAAATTCTTTTAAGATATTTATTATAATAATTATTTAAAACTTTCCCTTTTTCCAAAATAATTTCTCTTAATTTATTTCTCATAATTAATAACTCCAAAAATCTTTAAAATATTCTTTCTTTTAAAAACATCTCAAAATAACCCTTTTTATAAAATAATTTTCCTTTAAACTATTTATCATATTATCATTATTTAAATATTATTCATTAACAAGCCCACACAGTTATCACGATCTTCATACCATAGCATAATCAAATCACAGTATAGTCCAAGCAAATTCATAATATGTCTAAAAATTGAAACGATAAGTCAAAGAGAAAGGGATCTTGCCTTAAAATTATGTGCAAGCCTTTGAAACAAACAACAAGCAATCCACAAGTGCAAATAACACGTTCTCCCTTACCACACGTCGATGATCTCGCCCTTGTGTCAGTATTGTGCTTCACAAAGCTCTCAAAATTCATAAGAAAAAGATCTAGAGTTTTTGAGGGGAGAGGGTGGCTGTTAGGGTTCAGAGATATGATAAAAAAAAGGAATTTTCGTAAAAAACATAGGTATTTATAGAGGCAAACCCGAAACAAACCCGTTTGACCCGAACCAGGAAACCTAGTCTGACTAGAAAAATTACCTTCGATATTTTGGCTGTAACTTTCTTATCCGACCTCAGAATAAGATAATTTAAGATTTGTTAGAAATCTGTTGAAGAGACCTACAACTTTGGCCTTTTGAGTTTTTCTATATGCTAACTTCATCGTTGTGTAAAACATAGAAACTCTTAACTGATCATTTTTCCTAGATTTCTCTTCGTGCATATTTTGTACATTTACACTCATATATTCACAAATATACATTGAATTGATCTCAAATAAATTCTTATGATATTCAAACATCAAAATATATTATTTTTTAGCATAAAACATATTAATTATTATTTTTTATAAAAAATTTTAAATTTACGGGGTTTTACACATTGCTCCCTTCCCCGCTCCCCCTTTCTTTTGGAAGGTCGGGAGGGAGGGGTGATGGTTGGGTGGGTGTAAGAGGGTATTTTGATAACAAGGTACCCTCAATTACTCTGAATTAACCATAGTAAATGGTTTTGAACAGAAAATCTAACTAAAGGACTAATATCAACATATTTGAGAAATTTAAGGGACTAATATAAAAAGTTACAGATTTAAGGGACTAATACATATTATTAATGATTTAAAGGATTGATATCGGAAAAAAACTAAAAAAAAAGAAAATTTGGAGAGGCTAGATCTACTCTATGGCTGGCGGACCGTTCTTAGTCTATAGTTGGAGGGGGGGGGGGGCAGCACGTTTGTGTTGATCTCACAGGGGTGTCTCCGTTGGTGGGGTTTGGTAATGGAGAGTTCTAGGTTGGACATGTAGCGGATAGAGCAGCAGAGACAAATGTGGGAAAACATGATCAAGTTTGCAAGGACAACCACCACAGCTTCATCCCGTTCGCTTTCGATAAGTTTGGTTTCCTTGCAGCTGATACGGTGGAGTTCCTCAGGAGGGTACAGAAATTCATGAATAAAAATGTGACGACAGCAGGGTCCGCTGAGTATGTGTTTTATAGGTTGGGTTTTATAATTTAAAAATGATTAACGGTGTAGCTTGTTGCCCGCTTGTCATCATCACATGTGTAATATTTAGCAAATAAACTTTTAGAATTTGGTTTAAAAAAAAGAAAATTGAAAAAAGAAAAACAAAGGATAGCATTTTCCCGTAAAAACTTTGGATCAGACAGTTGGGCCGCTTAGAGTCTGGCCTAATCTGGCTCATGGGCCGTATCCCAAGATATAAGTATGGTCTGAAATTGAGAGCTAGGGTTTGCAGTTCCTTCCTCTCTTGAAAACGGCGGCAGCTCTAACAGCAGAGAGAGGAGGAGGAGGAGGAGGAGAAGAGCAATGACGGCGGATAAAGATGTTACGATCCGAACCCGAAAGTTCATGACCAACCGCCTCCTCTCTCGCAAGCAATTCGTAGCTTTCTCAAAAACCCTAATTTCCCCATTTTTGTTTGATCTAATTTGTTTATTATATCTTAACATTTCCCTCTTATCTTCATAAGGTTATTGATGTTATTCATCCAGGGAGAGCGAATGTCTCAAAGGTAGGTAGCCGATAGATTTTCATCTCATACCATCATTTTTCACCCCCTCCTAAAATTAAACGTTTTTTTTTTGTTAAATTTTGTTTTTTGGGGGGCTTGAAATTGAAGGCGGAGTTGAAGCAGAGGTTGGCTGCGTTGTATGACGTGAAAGATCCGAACTCGGTCTTTGTTTTCAAGTTTAGGACTGCTTTTGGAGGAGGAAAGTCTACTGGTTTTGGTTTGATTTATGATTCTGTCGACAGCGCGAAGAAGTATGAGCCCAAGTATCGTCTCATTAGGGTAAGTCGTAATCTCAGATTAACAAATTTTTTTTTTGTTCTCTTAGATTATTTAGTGACTTGGGTTTGCTCATCCTTTTTTGCTTTATGAGCTGTTAGCTTAGTTGCTGGGTCACTTGTTCTATTAATTGATATATGGATGTTTCGCCTATTAGTTCCGCATTGTTTTTGCTGTGTGTAAACTGTGCACAATTGTAATAGCCTCGGATTTTAAATTTTTCATGAAATGAATAGATTGAAATTTCTGCGTCCAATAAGCAATTCTTTGTTATGATGCCTCTCTTACTATTAAAAAAGTAGTTTGTCGCCGGTGCATTGCGTGGAAATTAGAGAGATGGTTGAATGATTTTTGATTGGGAAAGGGAGGGAGGGAGTGAGGGAAGTGGCATATTTATAGAACCATTATTAATTTTGATAGGATTGATGTAGAGATGATGATCAGTTCCCTAGTAATGCTGAAAAAACATATTCACTAGTAAAAAAAAGATGAATAATTATCTCTAGAAAAATAATGAGTAAAAAAAACTACCGCTTGTCGAGCTTACTGTTCTGCAAGAGAAATGTGCATTAATAGTAATTCATGAATCCCAGAGCAATATTACTTTATAATTTGTTCTTGGTTTGGTTGAACATACTACTGTGCAATGATTATCATCGTATATTGATCCTTCTTCTTTCTTAAATTTTCTATGAGAACATATTTGAAACAAAGCTAATGAATTCTTGGGGAAATATTATAGTTCTTTTTTCCAGTTATTAGTCCATTTTGAAATTAGTCCCCAAATCTTCTAAGTATTTTGAAGTTATTAGTCCCCCAAATCTTCATATTTTGAAATTAGTCCTCCAGATCTTTTGAGCGTTTGTAACTACTCCCTCTAGTAGGCACCAAATTCAATGATTTGGGGATATAATTTTGAAACGCTTAACATGTTTGGGGTACTAATTCCGAAATATAAAGATTTGGGAGACTTATTTCTAAATAATTTAAGATTTTGGGGAATAATTTCAAAACACTTAACGATTTGGGGGACTAATTTCTAAATATGAAAGATTTGGGGGACTAATAAGTTTTGCTTATTCCCAAGCTAATTTGCTGATAGACCTTATGTTTAAGGTTTATATCTACGTTTATGATTTTATGGAATATGTTTGTTGTACTTTTATCAATCGGGGATGACTTATGCAATCGGGGATGACTTTTTAACCTGAGTCGTGTATTTAGCATTGTGGTGTTGAGACGAATTATTGTGTGGACCTTCAGTTATCTCAACTTGTTCTCAGAGAATGTTGTTCGCAATTATTGTGTTTGAATGGGCAGACGTGTCTTTTGAGGAGCAAATGAAGATCTTTGTTATATTTTTTGTATATTTTTTTAATAAAAAATTTGTAAGACCCTAGAATACTATGTGCATATTATAACTCCTAAACCTATGAAAAACGTTTTTTCTCATATGCGTATGAAGACTCTTTTCTCCGGAAACAATTATCTGATGTTTTTGTATTTTTGTTGCTTAAAAAAAATTGGTGATATTTGTAGAATTTAGATGTTGTATTTCAAAATCCTTACACTGAGCCTATGATGCATTTGAAGAAATCTCTGTAATGTTGTCACGACAAAAAGCAAATGTTCAGAAATTTTGGATTTTTGGTCCTTAACAAAATGTTGTATATTGACAGAATGGGCTGGCCACCAAGATTGAGAAGTCCAGGAAGCAAATGAAGGAAAGGAAGAACAGAGCAAAGAAGATTCGTGGTGTTAAGAAGGTACCAGATTGGTTATACTGTTTTAACTTAAAAAACTTAAAGAGTCCATGTGATGCAAGTTTATTATAGTTGTTTTTTGGTTAGCAATTTATTCAGTAGAAATGCTTCTAAACAATGTACGGTATTTAACCAAAAAATGCTGACATTATTTTCTTGTGTTCAGACCAAGGCAGGGGATGCTGCCAAGGGAGGAAAGAAGAAGTGAGGAAAGTCATCGACATCTTTCTATTATGATAGTTCTGTTTCAATCTTGATTATGATGGTGTTTTTGTGCAATTCACATTGTGCTTATGACTTGTCGGCCAAAATTTTATGTGATGTACTAGTACTTTGGGGTACTGTTTAGAGTTAGTTACTTTATGTGTTGAAGATTTTTGGGGGAGGAAACTGAATTTAAGTATTTTTGTCTCAATATAACATTTCAGCAAACTTAAATGCAATGTATGTTAGATTCTCTCATTTGGTGATTATCTTTTGTTCTTATCTTTTGGTCTCACTGCGGTTCATACTGTTTATTTCCTGGAAAGTTAGCAGCGCACGCTGAAAAGTTATTTTGCTGAGAGCTCAACATTTGTTGACTTATGGTGTCGCTAAAGAAATTCATTTTGTTCTAATTGATTTGAAAGTTAAAAATTCATTGTCGGACTCTTTTTCCTCTCTGCTCTTTAGTTTTGGTATGAGTAGTGATATATTGGCTACTCTCTCTGGTTTTAGTTCTTGTTTGACCACGGTGATGATGAGCTTGGTTGAGTTGCACTTAAACGCGCTATAGTTTCACCGACTTCGCACTTAATTATTCTTAGCTGTAATAATTGTTAAAATATCCTGATGTTGCCACAGTAAATTGGGTAATATTTGGAGTTACCTTATTGAAACTTAAGATGGTTTACTACTTCCTGATTTGGTTTCTGAAGTGAGCTTGAACATTTGGAGTTGCCTTTATGACTTCCTACAAATAAATTGGGCAGAAATAAGAGAGGGTGTGACAACTGGGGCAAAGTTTGATGAAGCAAGGCTGCAAGGAAACATACCAGTATTCCTTAACCGAGAGTAGGAACATGCAACTTCTGAAAACATTGTAGTATTTAAGTGCAACCAAATAATAAATAGGGGTTTATATATGAAAAAGTAGATGAAACTATAGAACTTATAAATGCGTTGCTCCTAATTTACACTTAAAAGACAAGTCCAATGAACAGCCAACACCTGCAGATCCTAATCTAATGGCGAAGCAGCCAAACGAGGGTACGTTAGTGCCGTTGTGCTTCAAAAGGAGCGTCTGCTTTATAATCTGTCATATAAGTGTATATAAAGTACACAGATTAATAAATAAAAATTGGTTCAGGAAAACTAGGGTGTCCATTCGTGTCCAAGCCCCGGCCCGAGATGATGTTGGCGCCGGCGGGGACTGGGCCCGGCACCGACCAGGGTAGCCAGTCTGGCCTGTGGCCTGCTCGTGCCAAACAGTCATAAAAGTCACTATTTCCCAGCAAATGCCGGGCTGGGCCGGGCAATATGACCGTTGTGGCCGGCCCGACCTGACCCGGTCGTAACGGTCATTTTTGACCTTTTGACCGTTTTGCCCCCAAAAACGATGAAAAGGGTCAAAATTTGAGGGTATTTTGGTGAATTGTCTAGGGGGCTGTCTCTATAAATAGAGGGGGTTTTCACTTGTTTTTCTCATCCAAAAGTCATCTACTTTTCTCTAATACTTTCTAATAATTGCTTTAGCTATCTAATTATTCAATCAAATGGCTTCATTATTTGATTATGAAGGGCAAAACCCAACTCCCGAAATGAGTCCTCCTACTACAGGAGGTACAGCTACTCCTCCTACTCCTACCGATGTTGATCCTGTTCCAGTGACGACGATTTTACTACACCAAGAGCTCCTAAAAAGTCGAGCTCCGATGTGTAGAATTTTTTCGAGAAGATAGACGTCACCAGGGATTAACACGGTAGGCTTCTCATTCAGAAGACCAAGTGTGCGTTGTGCGGCCATATTTTTCAAGCTCATCATAAGAACGGCACCAACCACCTCAAATGCTATTTAGATAAACACAATAAAGGCCAAACTTCTCAAGGTGATATCCGTCAATCTATACTCTCCCAATCCTCATCTTCTGGTAGTCTCGGTAGTTAGAATTATGACACAGCCCGAGCCAGGAAATGCGTCATCAGGTTTATCATTCTTAAAAATATTTCTTTTAAATTAGTAGAAGATGATGAATTTGAAGATTTATTTACAGATGGTTTTTATCCTGCACTTAAAAAAATTCTCATCAAACTTGTTAACGTGATATTTTAAAATATTATCATGTGGAACAAGGAAAATAATTTCTTATTTTCAAAGTTTAAACTGTAAATTTTCTTTAACTTTTGATATTTGGACATCTACAGCATAAACTGGTTATTTATGTATCACAACACACTGGATTGATAAAAATTGGCAAATGTTTAAAAGAGTTATTTTATTTATTGCATTTGAAAAATCACATACTGGTATTAATGTTACAAATTTAATAATTGAAGAACTTTTAAAATTAGAAATATCAGAAAGAATATTTTCTCTTTCACTAAATAATGTAAGTAATAATAATGTAGCTGTTGATTCTATCAAAACATCTCTGTCATTGTCATGTCATGGTGATCTTTTTCATATTAGATGTATCTGTCATATTTTAATTTAATTATTCAAAATGCATTTGGTGAAATTAAACCCATGATAAAAAATGTTAGGTCAGTAACTTATGCTCATAATGCTTCTGAAAAAGAATTAGAAGATCAAAACAATTCTGTAAAAGAAAAAAAAAGATAAAACCCAGACTAATTCCAAAAGATATTGACCATAGGTGGAATTCCACCTATGCAACGCTAAGTGTAGCAATATATTATAAAGAAATTATAAATAAATTTATTGCTTTTTATACTTCTAGTTCTATCTCTAGTAGCATGTATGGAATAACTGAAGATGAATGGATAATTATAAGTAATTTAAAAGAGATGTTACAAGTTTTTTATGATGTTACAATGTTATTATCTGGCTGTTATTATCCAACCATTACTTTAACTACTTTACAAATTTTAAATATTTAATTTTTTAATAAATATCGTATGGATGATTATTTTGGAAATATAATTTTTCAAATGGAAAGTAAATTTAATAAATATTTTATGTTTATTCCTGTTATTTTTAGTTTGAGAGTTCTTATTGATCCGTGTTTGAAGAATATTGGCATTCGACGTTTGTTAAATTCCTTGTATGGTAATATGATTATAGACACTGATGATGGTCAAACCATTACTGCTATTACTCATCATAATACTATTAGAAATTATTTTTAAAGATTATATGATGAGTATGTAGCTAAATATGGTGTAGCTACACATCAGTCTATAACTTCTGCTTCTACGAGCTCAAGTCAGGACAAAATTATAAGTTTTGATAGTTATGCAATGGTAGTTGAGCTAACTGGTGGATCTGAACTTAGATCATCAGCGGAGATTTCTGAAATTGATCAATATTTAACTTCATCTTTAGTTAAATGTCAAAATAATAGTTTAGATATTTTGTAACGGTGGAAAGTATAAGGAATAGTTTCATATCCTATACTTTCTATCATGGTTTGTGACTTACTAACAGTGCATGTCTCCACAGTAGCTACGACATCCACCTTCAGCACAGCCGAACGTTTGATCGACAACCACATGACATCGTTAGATCCGTATACTGTGTCGCGCGCCTATGCGGAAGCGTGCATGCGCACACACAACGAGTCTGTGATCACGGAGAAGAAGATGAACCACACACAAGCACAATCCAATCCAAATACGACAAATCCAACCAAACACAGAGATATACGTGGTTTGACAATTTTTCTACGTACATGGGGAGAGGATGGGGAGATTTTACTAAATCAAGGAGAGTACAAAGGGTTACAATCACACAAAATCACTCAAACTAACCCTCAACCAAAGCTCTCAACTTGCTCACAATATCTCATCTCTCACAATGCTCAATAGCCTCTCTGAAGCTCTCAAATATTTGATGATTAACCCTAGAAAATCGTGTCCCTATTTATATCCAAACAAAAACCCAAACAGAATCTAAGCAGGAAACCAAACTGTGAAAAAAACCCATCATAAGCCGACTTAACAGATGTTATAAGTCGACTTGGCAGAGAGAAAAACAGCAACTGAAGAACAATTCGTAAGTCGACTTAACAGGCTTCACAAGTCGACTTGATAGAGCGAAAAATCACAACTCCAGAGCAGAACGTAAGTCGACTCATGCACATGCATAAGTCAACTTACCATAAGTCGACTCATGCACAGGCATGAGTCGACTTACCATAAGTCGACTTATGCCTGTGCATGAGTCGACTTATGATAGAAAAGCTGGTTTTTTCTGGTTTTCTCTACAATTCTTCACCTCGGTGAAATTTTATCAAAACTGAGCCGACACCAAATAAAGAGCATCAATGCTTCATCTCTCCAAACACGGCTGCACCAACATGGTTGCCTACGTACCCCCTCTCCTAAGGGATCAAGCAGCCCGTAGTTCATCCAAATGGCTGCCAACGGTCTCAACAATTATGAATATGCAACATGTTTCTACAATGAACTGTTTGTGGAAAAATTTGCAGTAAAAAAATGAAGGAAAATTGATTTGTATTCCTTTAATCTCAGTTACAATCGGATTTCCTGATTATAAAAGAGAAGAGAATGATCTGGATTCTCCCTTTTGTTTAAGTCTGGGTTCTTCATGGTGGCGATGGAGTACCTCCCTCGAATGCTCGCGTCGAGTTTGCTCTCCGTTGATGATCCGAACGTCTTGTTTTATTGGAATGTGGTCTTCTCCTCACGATTTAACGTTGTAGAGAACTTGCGTGGCAAGTTTGAAAATAACTCTTAACGAGTTAATAACTCAGAGCGAGTTTTAGAAGAACTTGCAGAGCAAGTTTTGAACTCTGATCGAGTTGATAACTCTGAACGAGTTTGAAACTCTATGAAAGAGTTGATTTAACCAAAATCAGTTTATAAGCCAAAGATGAAAGCTCTCTGTTGTTGAGCGTTGCTGAAGGATGAACGTCGATCTTCCCCTCGCTGCCAAGCCGAAGATCTTCTCTTCGCTGCCAAATCTAAGATCCAAAAGCCAGCCCCAACTCAATTGAGTTTCCTACTATTTATAGGGGATTTAAGGGAGTAACCGCCCCCTTAAATCTCTCCTTAATGAGGGTTTAATAGGGTGTAACTGCTCCTCATAAATCTCTCCATGATAGGGTAGTGATCCCCTCAAATCGTGGGGAGAAAACGGTTCTGGAACCGTTCAAATCGTGCATGAACGAGTCAAACGCTGAAAACAGCGTTCTGGGCCCGAACTCTGCGTTTTAGACCTGAAACACAGAGTTGGGCCTGTTTTAGGCTGAAAACGCACGGGTCGCGCTTCACAGA